TCATCTTTCTCACTGATATATTAAAGTACAGACAGTACACATGGATCTCACAGTGGAAAACATATATCCAGAAACAGTGAAAACACAGTGACCTGCTGCTACAAACCAGGAGAAAAATCCCTTGAAAACACACACACACACACACACACACACACACACACACACAAACACACACACAAGGTATGAGCAGGACTAACTCATTCGTTCCTCAACAATAGAAAAAAAAAAAGAAAGAAAGATGAAATGGAAGGAATGAAAGAAGAAATCTATTTCTTTCTTTCTTTCTTTCTTTCTTTCTTTCTTTCTTTCCAACAACCATGTCGGAGTATCCAGCGCTCTAAATGTGGTACAGCTTTGTTAGAACAGCATAATAATGACTCTTAATGACGTATTTCTGACATCGGAAAATAAAATAACCTGTAACATCAGCTGAGCATTTATTAGGCGATCAGGTTGTCAGTGCACAAACAGAAACAAAGGAAACAGTAGATACATTTCATTATATATATATATATATATAAAATCAAATGAAACGTATCTATTGTTTTTGTACATATATTTATATGTAGTGATTTTCTGCTGTGTGCACCTTTGAACTCCTGTATTTAATGAAGATAAAGAAAAAGCCAGGCCAAATATATACACACATATATCCCTAAACATATATAATTTAAAATGTCTTTAATGAATGTCTTTGAAATTCGATAGAAAAGTTCGCTCCTTTTTATTTTCGCGAAAAAAAAAATTCACATAACGTAACTACATATCCTGATTTTATTTTATTTTTTTTGAAAAGGCAAAAACGTGTGAAAGTGATTCACTCGAAGCTGATGATGCGTTAATCTTTATAATCACTTCAGTTCTGAAATACATTTAAAAAGTCGTGAAGCCATCTTGAATTCAATCATTCGCCTCAATTAGAATCAGTGGCTTTAAAAGAAAGAGAAAGAAAAAAAGAAGTGCTGCAGTGGTTGAGTGTAAACGCAGGCCTACCTGTAGGATACACTGGGATTAAACACTCGTGCGTAAAATGGATTTGAACACAATGTAGTGATGTAGGGTCATTATTTCTAAATAGTTATACTTCTTATTCAGGTAGTAAAATTTCTCAGTTATTTTTTCATCTGAAAAAATAAGACAACACACACACACACACACACACAGACACACGCGCGCGCAACACACGTACTGATTATGTGTGTGTTAAATGTGTTACATTGTGCGTCAAAGAAGCAGATTCAACACATTTTGGATATAGTTTTATTTAATCTCACAAGTATTTACTGCAAGAGTATGAAAATGCATCATTGTCTATCCACTGTTTATGAAAGAGCTGAATGTACACAGAATTGAAGAAATCATAATCCACGACATGAGCCTTAAAACACAGCAGGCTGGAACTGGGCGTTTTGTTATCATTTTGTGTTTTATTTTTTTATTCTTAAAACTCCCAGTTTAGTTGTCATGACATTACTGTAACTTTACATTTCATTTGCTGTATTACTGCAAGACTGTGTGTCTAAACAGCACATTTGTTTCATTTTTATGTCGACAGTATTCCTGCAGGGCTTTCTTCTAAACTCTCTTTAGGCCATTGTGATGCGATTTTTCCCCCCCTGCCTCATTATATTAACCCTACAATCAGTGAATGTGAAGGGTTAATTCCAGGAGCCTGTGGTGAAGCAGGTTTGTAAAGTCACTGCAGGCAAAATAGAAATCTATAGTTGTCAAAAAGAATCTACTCTGACAGCAGTGCAGTTTATCAGCAGTTCAGATTGATGCCAAACACTCCACCGTTTACATCAAACAGGTTGATAAAAATCGGATCAATCTTTGCATAAAAGCCACAGATTTGAAAAAAAAAAAAAAAAGTGAAACAAAGAGCAAGATCGTTTGTGGCTGTGCAGCAGGAAGAGGGGAGGTGTCTTAAAGGACGGGGGGGATTTTGCTTATTAGTGGTCATCATTTTTTTTTCGATAGAAAAATCCATCTAATTAATTAGGTATGTTGAAAAGCCACAGAGACACCACTACAGGCATAAAAAAAAATCAAATCAAATAAAAGCCCAATAGGAAAGAGACCTAGATTCATCTGAGCTGCTAAAAAGTTCACCTCCGCAGCTCCAGTCCCATAACACAATTAAAACGCTATAATTTAATTTTGTGCGTAAAAGTAGGCTTCTCCTAATAACAAAAATGCCCTGACAGCTCAGAAGGGGGTTCCGGATTCATCCAGAGAAGCTTTATTACAAAATATCTCACTATATAAATCCGGAATCTGTGTGTAACAGCTGACCTGTCGGGTGTGCACAAGAACACAGAACATTATTTACCGTCAGGTCCTGACAGATCCCGTGTTAATGGAGTTACCGCTGCTGCGCCATGTGCATAAATGCGCACTGCACTTTCAATTTAAAAATGCACTTATTGTTTGTGCAGCTGTGTGGTGATGCAGGTATTTATTAAAGCCAAAGGGATGTGACGCACAGCCAGCTGTGGGCAGCGAAATGGACATCAGTAATGTTCCTGCAAAATCCCGAATTACTTTCAGTGACACTTGAGCGTCATTACTGTATGAATCAGGCGTTAACACGTTTCACGTCTGCCTGCTTTACAGTAAATGGCTGTATTTTGACTGACATTTCGATATATTATGTCATAGACGCGAGAGAGAAGTCAAAGACGCAAAATGAGCTACACGAAAGTTGATTATTTGAGAGCTGTGCGCGCACCACTGCTCGCTAAAGACACTTGAACTGAGGCTTTCGTGCTCTCTGTAATTTTCTCTCTGGATCAAGCTCCATACAGAGATGCGAAGAAAAAGCCTAAAACACTGGAAACCGCGACGCTCAGTGTAAAAAAACAAAACAAAAAAAAAAGCAACTTTACTGCCAATAATAGCTGCATGGCCTGTACGCGTCTTGTAATGTGCCACTGCATATTCTCCACTTTAAGTTGAACACAGGCCACCTGAGGATCAGAAGTATGCGGGGGGACAAGGAATCAGCGGCGGCCTCCAGCACCTACATGGACCCAAAACTTTGAACACAAACGAGGCGCAGGAGGTTTTCGGTGAATATTACACTGCATGTGTTTGAAGTCGATTTAACGCAGAATATTGAGGGAATAAATCCGCTTTCTTTCATCGTTTGGTTGGAATTTCCATGTTTCATGTACTTGGTGGCATGTGACCCCCGTTTCCCGCAGTGATTACGCGCATGCGTGTGTTAATGGACTACACGAGAGAACATGCGTGTTAGAATTTCGATCTAAATAAATTTAAAAAAATCCAAACAGTACATATAAATCTAGCAGCCATAGAAGAATGTTGCTTATACGTTGCTTACACGTCAGTCGAGTTTAGGCTTCAATTTACGCATCAGTGAAGTGAAAGAGGGCGATTTAGGTTTAAACGTTACTTCACTGTATTTTAATATTTTACATGCACGTGACGCTTTACGCACAAATCTGGATTAAAGAAGGCGGTTATGGTGACGGGGTGAACAGGTACGCTTGTACTTCACTGACTGTGGAATCTGGCCACTTTTTTTTTTCCCCTCATCATGAACATTCTCCAACTTCACCACTAGATGTCACCGTTTAGTCGTCTAGTCGACACCTTCCCAACCTTCGTCCTCCTCATCCCCATCCTCCAGAGACATCGAGGAGCCCTAAATAATCCGGTGTACTCCACCAAACTGCTTCACCAATATGTCTTGGAGGTAAGTGCCAGTGCAAAATGGACTGTTCCTCATCATCCACTGATTATGTTTATTCCTCCAAATCCAATTGGAAAAACAATAATCCTGCTTATGCTACTGTACTGTAAAAAAAAAACAGCAACTGATAGGCTCAATAATAATAATAATAATAATAATAACAATACACATATAAGTTGTAGACTTCTGTCCGTCCAGTGTTACTATAATGGAACAAAAAACTTTTCATCACGCCGGTGCAGGAGACACCTCGCACCTTTACAACCTCAGGTGTGCTACTGAAAAACAGCTTGGCTGGTTCACCAACTTGGAGGTGTTTCATTACACCAATTTCAGAAAAACGTTTGTATGTGCCAGGCTGATCCTGTTACAAACTGCATCGTAGGCTGCTGTCTGGCCTACAATTGAGGAGGAGGGAGGGGGGGGGACGCAATTTAACACACGATGTTTACCTCACTGACGATTTATGAACAGAACCTGACGGCCCTGGCGCGTTTTTTTTTTTTTTTTTTGCTCGTTTAAAAAATAAATGTTTGATTAAATCTGTTGGTAGCACAATTACTACCCAGCACATTTCATGTTTAGAGTGAAAAATAAAAGCGTGCGTAAACCGTCTTATTGTGCTTGTCCTTCTTTTTCTACTTCATCTTTTTTTTTCCTTTCACCAACACGAGGC